CCCAGTGATCCCCAGGCATCTTTTTTCAGTCACTGCCAAGTACCAGTAGGAAGTGAGGATTTAGTTCTTCTAACATAGTTTTGGTTTACGTTTCCTGCTGAGATTGCAACTTTATTAATGTCCTCAGAATGTTCCGGTCAAGGCACACTCCATGTTGGCTTGAAAAATATGAAGTTAATGATCTGAGAAGTGCTGTGGGGGGATCTGAGAAATCTAGTGTTCCAATGTGGTAGGAAAATTGCATTCTTTCCAGGGAATCAAAAAGCAGCTGAAATAAATTGTTATGACACAGAGTTCTGATTTGCTATGTGGTTTTTGTCCATACTGTAAATGAAACTGGACAATTGCTTCAACTTTGTAAAACTGAGAACAATTTTTTGTAGACCTTGGCTAGTGGCAGATGTTTCATAGCTAATTTAAAAGCACATCAAGCCAATAATTTTAAGTTTGGTTAAGAAGTAGTCACTTAATGTCATATTGTGGGTTGGTTCTTTGTTCTTCTGTTTTTAGCCTTCCAAATGAATAAAGAATACTTTGCTCCTGTTTTCATTTCCTTTTTTATTTATATGTAACACTTCAGTATAGTAAAGCATCAAATCAAGCCCTTAAATTTTCTGAAGATTTGCCACCTTTGGTGATTTGTCGAAATTGAGTGATATTGGGGTTTTAACATAAATGTTTTATCGCACATGTTCCTGTGCTGATTTCTTCTTTTATATTGCTATATCCTTTGCTTGTCTTCTCTCTTAGGTAACCTTGAGCTATTCTAACATCACAAAATCTGTTAAAGGAGTCTTTATTAAGAGAGGGAAGTGTGGATTGCTGTATAGCTGTTACCAACTTTGAGTTTCTCATGGAGTCATTAGAGAAAGTGTCCATGGAATCCATAAGACATTTACCTGATGGAGATTCAAATGCTTAACAGAACACAGACTGTTTTATTTGTTTATCTATGTAGTTTTTTATTAATTAAAATCATGCATTCTGTTATTTTTCAGGAATTTACTGTAGACAGGGATGTCTTTTAAAATTATATTAAAACATGTCCAGTTCTCTTTGTCTAATGCATACAAAGTTCTATTTTAATTACAGTCTGCCTTTTGGAGGCATGTTTGGAGTGATATATAAATAATCTGTCTGATCTTCACTTGACCTCCATTTCATTTCAGAATGAAACTGTTTTTATAACAGCTCTTCTGAGCTTAACACTGGCAGTGCAATACAGAGCAGCCCAATCTGGTATACGTTGAATAATGGTCCAAATTTGACCCAACCATGGCATTTATGGAAGAGCAAGGACAGTTACTTTCTGCAAGGAAACTTTCTCCTGCCTTTTTCTCTGCCTAGAGGAAATGTGATAGGTCATAAAAAAATCTGAAACCTTTTATGTCTGAGTGGATAAAATAGGTTTGTTTTTTTGATACTGTGTCCTTTTGTTAGCCTTCTTCATAAATGAATGTGTTGCAGTGCCAGCAATTTTAAAGTGAGGGCCGTCAGACACAGCTTGGATCTTAATTTTGAAAAGGGAAAGCCTATAACTGGAACCAGCTGACATGTAACCCCTTTTTTATTCATGGGTATAATAAGCATGAAGCTGTGCCAAAATAGATGTGTTTAAACCCTACCTATGGGTGCCAGTCTGTGATTTCAGCAGAATCTGTAATCTGTGGAAGAGCTTTGTATATGCTGCTCTTCTCTTTCATTCTCTTGCTACCAGCTGAAGTGAACACCATCAATGAGAGCACTGAAATCCTTCACTTGAGCCCCGCAGTCACAACCGAGTACGTGGGTGAGAAACCGGAGAAGGCCGAGTTCTGTGACCGCTCCTGTGAAGAGCTGGGATCGATGTTCACAGAGCTCACTGGCCTGCGCATCGTGGTGAACAACCTGGCTGACAACCTCCAAAAAGTGGTAGGTACCTGCAAGTCTGGAGAACTGACAGGGGTCTGCTGTGCAGTGCTCTTTCCTTCCTTATTTTATGCTGGGGTATTTAACAGATTTCTGTATTGCATATGAACACCTGTTAGTGTATCTACATAATGTAAAGATGTCCTCTTTTCATTGACACTAGTTTGGTAGTTCTTGAGTACAACACTTTAGTCAAGGCTTGGTTTAAAAA